TTTTAATTCAGTAGTAAGTATATGGGTGAAGGTCCTAGAGGGAAAGCCATACGACGAGTGGCTGAAGTCTCTCGGCTTGTTCAGCCTGGAGGAGACTGAGGTTAGAGCTCACAATAATTCTGCAGCTTCCTCGCAAGTAGGAGGGGCTGGCCCTCAACTCTGCTCTGTCTGACCAGCGACAGGACTCAGGGGACGGCTGGAGCTGTGTCAGGGGACAGTTAGGGTGGATTTTAGGAAATGTTCTTCACCCAGAGGGTGGTCGGGAACTGAACATGCTCCCCCAGGTAGTGGTCACAGAACCCAGCCTGACAGAGCTCCAGGAGCATTTGGACAACGCTCTTGGGCACAGGGTGGGATTGCTGTGGTGTCCTGTGCAGGGCTAGGAGTTGGGCTGGATGATCTTTGTGGGTCCTTTGCAGTTCCGGACTTTCTGTGATTTTACAATAACTCTGTCCCTCTCAGGTTTGGACACAGCACTTGTTTGCTTTGCCTCTGGAGTGCAGCTGACCCACCAGCCCAGGTCTCTGGACCAGCTTAAGACTCAGAGATGCTTTTTAATTTTTAAGCTTCCTTCATTATCTGAGTCTTGTTTTCCCACTTCTTAACTTCACATGTGTGAGCCCTTTGTGTTTCCTCCCAGCAGGCAGCTGAGGGTTCAAGGAAAAGTGTTGGGTTATCCTAGGCTTTGTAGTATCCCAGGCAGGATCACATCCAAGATCATAAAATAAATGAAAATTAATGAAACACCTGAATTCAGAAGAAATTGACCAGGCTATGGGTAGAAAAACTCTGTAGGCTGCATTAAGAAGCTGAGTCCACAGCTACAATTCCTGGGCTTTCTGTCTCTTGTAGGTACACGGTGCTTAAAGGGATACAGGAGGGTGCACTTTGCCATGGTGTATTATATAGATCTTTGCTTACCAAAATCACAAAATGTGCAAAGAATTATCTGGTGACTGAGGAAGGTATTACCTATATTATATATTTTGTCTCTTAAGTTGATATCCAGAGTTGTCTCTTTGCTAGGTCTGCTTTTTTCTCCTGATCATTTCCTGAGGCTTACAGGTGTTTCCTCCAGGATGTGCTCTGAAGATTTCCGCAAAAGAGAAAGAGGGAGCTTGCTCAACCACCAGAGCAACCCTGCAGCCCACACCTAGGCAGTCCTGAACCCTCCCTTGCCTGCAAGATCCATGTGGAGTCTCCCAGGCAGGAAAACTCCACTCAGAAGTGGAAGCACACTGAGAACTCTTCCCCAGCCAGCTACAGAATCATCCTCATGCCTGCTGCTGTCTTCTGATTCAATTACTCCTTTCATTCATTTGTGTGGGTGCCTTTTTTCAGCAGAGTGGATGAGCTCCTGCAGCTGAGATTCCATTCCGCATCACTTCATTTACAGTGAGACGCAAGGAAAGGGATGCTTCAAATTCCCAGGAGCTGACTCTGGATCATGTCTCTTTTTAGTTTCGTGTCAGACCTCTGGGAGATTATATAAATAGCTTGTCACTATAGGACACAAAACAACATGACACGCACACACTGCTGCTCTCAAGGTGAAAAAAAGGGAAGTTTACTTTCTGACTAACATTTATAGATTTCTAAAAGTGACAGTGGATTGGAGGGTGAAAGTGCCAGCTCTCCAGTGACACTGGACAAACAGTGTCATTTAACAGTCTATTAAATTTCTCTTCTTCCATAAAAGAATGTAAAACAATAAGCTATTTACAGAAAGTGTGTGAGAAAGTTTGTTACAAGAATGTAAACATCGGAAGGTTTAGAAAATCTTAAAAAATCAGGGCGACAATAGCTAGTGCATCTTCTCACTGCATTTTCTAAGTTCCTAGCAGCTGGTAGCAGGTTGGAGTTGGTCATCCTGACTGGAAAACTGCTCCTCTTCTATCCAGAAAAGGGCAACTTGTTGTCTGACATGGGCTTAACTTCTCCCCCTGTCCTTGGCACCTCCAGCAGCTGCAGAGGCAATTTTCTGTTTGATTTTGAGAATTATGTCTTGAGATACCTTGCTTTCTCTGCCTGCTGCACAGAGTTTGAGTGCCTGAACATATCTGGAACCCAGCAGAGTGTGAGCAGGGGAGGGCTTGTCCCATGCTGTGAGTATCCCACATGGGTTGGGCTGCACTGTCTCTTAGCCCACCAAACTCTGCCCTGCAGCAGCTGAGCATGCCCCTTTCCCTTCAAGGACACACCTCCTTGGTGTGTATACATATATATGTATCTCTGGTGTGTCCCTTCCTTGCAAAGAGGCCCACCAGCATCAAGAGCAGGGCCCCGTACCCTGAATTGCTCCTGCTTCCTGCAATGCCTTGTGCTATGTCAGGCTGAAGGGCAGTTGGGATATTAACCTCCCACTCTGACATCCTCCTTGTAAACATCCTGTCCCACTCAAGTCCTGCGCTGTCACATCCTCTCTGCTCTGCCCAGACACTATTCTGGGTTTAGTTCTACATGCAGAGCACACAGCTGGGCATGCCAAAATCCAGGCAAGCAGCAGGAGAGAACAGTAACTTGGTTCAGCTGCTGACATATTCTTAAAACTAAAATCATCTGCTTGAGCCCTCCTTGGAAAGCCAGTTTGCTTCCCTAGGCATGTTCAGCAGCTGTACCTTACTCCAAGCAGATGCAAGCCTGTGCATATGGCATGAAGAACCTTGGTAATAGTGAAAGGGAGCAGAACAGAGAGCTTGGAAACTGCAGCACAGTAAGTTTACACAAGCAGCAAGTAAAACACCCATCCCCTGTGAGTCAGTCCTGGTTGTTTCCTTCATTTCCTCCAAGGCTTGCTGTGAACATCCAGAGGTAGCAGCCCTTCTGAAATCCAGTCATCTCCTTTCCTGCCTCTTGTTTACAGTCTCCAGCACAGCATTTTCACTGCAGAGTGCTGAGAGAAGTGCAGACTCTCCCCTGGCCTCAGCTCAGCTTTGGTACCGCAGTGCTCTTACTGCTTTTGTGGGTGCCAGCACCTTCTTGAGCTACAGCACCTGCTGAAGTAAGAGAGGAAAAAGTGTCACAGTTGCACAATTGTTTTTTTTTAAA